TTTGTCTCTTATGAACTTTATGGTTTTGGACTTTACCAAAAGTCTTTCCCAAGTCTCTTATCCACCTTGAGATGATTTTGGTCTATGGTGTGAGATGTAAATCCTGTTTTACCTTTCTGCAGGTAGCAGTACCTTGGTAGCATCGCACCTACTGGACAGAAAGAGATTCTAAATAAGCCAAAGGTGGGTGATTTTGATCTGAGGCCCTCAGAACTGGTGTTGTTTTTGGTCAAACATTATTCTAAGTGGTATAGCACTGGTCTGTCCATTTGCTGTACAGAGGTAACTCTTGGTTGCTGTGATGCTGAACACTGTAACACTGATGCATCAAATGCGATAATGTTTACCCGTGGTGGACAGTGTTTGGTGGACCTTCTGGATTAAAACAAGCTTGGAAACAGGAATGGCATCTACTTCTGAAATACCTTGTCTCTGGAAATCCTATCAACTTGAAGAAATGATGAAAGTTATACAAGTGGTCAGATATTTCGTTCATAGGGTCACTATGAGTCTTCTATGACTCAATGATACTTAACAACAACAACAACAACAACAATTCTTTCAGAAGATGCAGCCAGAGTGCTCATTGGAGGCAAAAATGATGAGTTTTCACCTCTCAAACTTTTGTCATGTTACTAGGAGTTGCTTTTCCTGGAGAAGAACATGATGCTGGGAAGGGTAGAGGGTTTGTGAAGGAGAAGACGACCCTTAACCAGGTGAATTGACACAGTGTCTGCTACAGAGGCCCTTTTGTGTCAGGAAGTGTAAGGATGGCACAGGATGGAATAAAGATCTGATCTTTTGTTCATAGGTTCACTATGAGTCATACTCAATGGCACCTAACAACAGTAACAGCATTACACAATCGGGCTATTCAAGAATATTTGCATCACACTAGTTACAGTCCCTTATTCTTATGGCTTCTTGAATGGACTCTCTCAGGCAGCTTTGAATTTTCAATTGTCTTTCTGTGGCTCTCAAGCTGCTCTTTCTTCTCCATTCTCCTATCTTTTCATTTCTGTGACCATCTGAAGATATACTCTGGTGAAGGCAAGTACTAAGTGAAGATACATTCTGATGAAGGCAAGTACTAAGCTTTCTCCACTTCTGGTTTCCACCTATCAACAGTCATCATATTTTCATGGAACCCTCTTCTGCACCCCCTTAAGATTGTCATCTGAGAAATTCATAGGAGAGTCTACAACAATTAGGGAATTTTTATACTTTTTTTAGTTGAATGCTGAACCCATTGATTTACAGCCTAAGGTATGTGAGGATGTGATTCATGCCACACAACAAGTCATCAAGGGATATATCTTCCATAAAATTAGAATGTAATTATCCATTTCTAATCACTCATTTTATCTTATAATGTCTCACTCAAAAGACAATTGTAGTACTGTATTACTATGATTTGTTTATAATCAATAATTCTCTATGATCTCATTAGCTACTGTTTCTTAGAATTAACACCTTGATGACAGATTTGTTTAATAAAAATTTTGATATTGATTTAACAGCCATTTCCTTTGTCAGACAGCTAGAAATTAATTGGTTGATATGAAATCATTCCATAAAAACTGTTGTCATTTAACTTGACATATATTCATAACTAACTCACTCTGTTGAAGAACTTTTAGAAATCTGTATTGTTTTGTATAATATGGTTTATAGATTTAGAGTGATGGTCAGGATTGATTATAGTTCAAGGTTGTGTTGTTGTTATGTGCTATTGGAGTGACAGTGACTCATTGTGACTCTGAGACAACCTCACCATCCCGACACACCTAGCCTCACTATCATAGTGGTTCAGGTCAATGTATCTCATCAAATCTTTCTTTCTCATGCTGACCTTCTACCCCTCAAAAGATGATGTTCTTCTCCAAGGACTGGCTCCTCTTGATATATGGCCAATGTATGTGACACAGAATTTATAGTCTGTCTTATTTTATGTTTTTTGTATAAAGACTATGAAGCATTTCATATTCCCATTCATTTTATAAAACATTGTTTACCATCCACAAGTTTAAACTTTTATAGATTCCCCCCCCAACCCACGTCATAGATAAAAAGTCAAACCATTAAAAAAAACAGTAATTTATTATCATCAATTTCAGTTGTCAACATTTTAAAAGTTTCCAAGAATTGGGATCCAATTCAGTAATCAGTATTGCAAAATGGCATTGCCAGTGTTTTCCCAATGTTTAAGATCTGACTCAGGGCCTCTTTCCTAAGAGTTTATAAGGTTAACTGGTTTCCACAGAGCTAAGAATATACTGAGAAGTTATGAAATATGGTATATATGTCTTTCCTCTATATGAAAGCCTACTGTTTATTTTACGTTATAAAACATGCTTTTCTAGTCAGGGCTGGCCCACTAGTTCTCAAACAACTGTTCCATTTATTCCATAAATACATTATTAGTAAACTGTTTTTGTTAGGTGCCAATGTGGTTAGAAGTCATACCGTCAACCTAAAGACAACATAAGTTATATTGACTGCATCTGTGGAAAGAAACTGGAGAAATTCAACATCAGCCGTTACAACCAGGCCAAGAACTAACAGTGAAACACAAAATCCACCACTCATTTGCAAGTTAAAATTGAAGTTGAAGAAAATGAAAACAAGTCTATGCAAGAGAATGAAAATATGACCTTGAATTTATCCCAATTGCATTTAAAAATCATTGTAAGAGCAGATTTGACACATTGGACATTAATGGCCAGGCAAGGCATGGAATGAAATCAAAACCATCGTCCAAGAAGAAAACAGGGATAGGAAAGAAAGAAAAGGCCAGCATAGGTATCAGAAGAGACTCTGAAATTTGTATTGGAACCAAAAAAAGCCAAAACAAGGGGAAGGAATGTTAAGGGAAGGCAGGTGAATAAGATTTCAAAGGAGAAGACCAAGAAAAGTCTTGGAATGACATGTGCAAGGAACTGGAGTTAGAAAATCAAAAGGAAAGAGCAAGCTCAGCATTTCTCAAGCTGAAATAACTGAAGAACAAATTCAAGCCTTGAACTGCAATACTGAAATACTCTGCATGCAAATTCTTGAATTACGCAGACACATCAAAAGATTATGGAAGGGATACAAAGAGTAGTTGTACCAAAAAGAATCAGCGTTGAATCATTTATGAAGTAGTATATGATCAAGAACCAATGGTACTGAAGAAAGAAGTCCATACTCCACTGAAAGCATTGGGAGAAAAAGAAAAGAACAAACCAGGCTCCAGGAATTGATGGAATACCGGTACTTCAGGAAACAGATGCATTCCTGGATATACTTGCCATTCTCTGCCAACAAATATGGAAAACATTTACCTCTCCAACTGACTTTGAAGAGATCCATATTTGTTCCTATTAGGTAATCCAATAGACAGTGGAATTATAGAACAATATCATTAAAATCATATGCATGTAAAATCCTGCTGAAGGTTATTTAAAAAACTGTTTTAACGGTATAGTGACACAGAATTACCAGATATTCTATTTCTAACTTGAGGAGGTAGTGGCACAAAGGACAAGCTAGCTGATGACAGATGGATATGAGTATTGACTTTACTGAACCCGACAATTAAATCCAATGATTTTTTTAGAATTCTTTGGGATTTTCTATATATAGATTCTAACTCTTCAAATCATCAAATTAAGTTTATGCCCTTGAGAAACAAAGATTATGTTAATTGCTTGTTTAGAAATATCTTTAAAATTCTTCAGGGAATATGCCTTAGGAATCAAATATGTCATCCCACATTATTCTGACAGAAAATGGCAAATAACCTTAAGAGGTAAGTGATATATACCATTTCACACTACAAACACATACTGAGTTTTTGTATGAAGGTTATTACCACATTTAATGAGGAAAAATTATTAAAATTTTTCTTGTCTTTTCTATTAATCAATTGATAATATTCTATACATATTTAAAAGTAAATTCTTATATTAAAATCATTTGCAAGAAACAAAGGAACAAGAACACAGGGTCCAGTTCTTCAAGAGTAATGAATATTAAAAAATGTGTCTTTTGCAAGGAATGAAAGAGATTAACTAGACCTGGAATCCTGGACAACAGTCAACCATTATTTCCAACATGCTTTCCATTTGCATGAGTGTAATAATGGTTTTTTAACAGGGATTAAAAATTATCCATACAGGCAAACAATTTTTTTCTTGACTATATTCTTTTAAGATCCACTTTCTTCATAAGTTATTCTCTGAATGGCTATTTGAAACATTGCTTATTGTAATTTGATTTTTCATAAAGTTTGTTGCTCACATATGTCAATTTATAGTGTATGATATCTGTTTCTTTTACAATACAAATACTGGCAAGGGAAGAAATCTGTTCACTGTTGTGATCTCTCAAATTGCAGGGTAGGCAAGCATAGCTTAGGAGTGTAAAAGAGAAATTTTATCTGGTTGAGGCTGATTTTATAAAACAAAACAAAATATAATCCTTGATATTGTAACTTCTAATTTGTATCAGGAGATAACATTTGCTGATGCAATGTCCTGAATGTAATTTTGTCAGTAAATTGTGGGTTTTAAGTAAAAATGTTATACTGAAAATTATCTTCTATCTTGTATCTGAAACAATGGCATATCAGAACTAGGAGAACCAGAGAACTCCAATTTCAACATCAGATAATGAATGTTTTCTGCAAGTTTTTTAACTCATGAAGATGGGGGGGAAATACCAAGTACATTTTCTCTAAGAACACAGGTATTAATATGTGAGTGTGCATATACATGCAAGTGTGTGTGTGTGTGTGTGTGTGTGTGAGAGAGAGAGACAAAGACAGAGAGACAGAGAGAGACAGAGAGAATGAGTTTCATGTAGAGGAAGAAAAAGATACCAAGGTAAAAAGAACAGATATTTTCCTACTCATGAAAGGATCAACAAATGATAAAAATAATGGTTATTAAATATAGGATCAAAAGCAGATGGAAAACCTCATCTTCCTTTCCATTTTCAGTTTGTAAAGGATGAGAAAAATGCCCTCCCTAAACCACAGCACAGTGACCAGATTCATTCTCTTGGGCCTCACAGACGACCCAGTGCTGGAGAAGATCCTGTTTGTGGTGTTTCTGGTGATCTATCTCGTCACGATGGTGGGGAATCTGTGCATGATCTTGTTGATCAGGACCAATGCTCGTCTGCAAACTCCCATGTATTTCTTCCTTGGCCACCTTTCTTTTGTTGACATTTGCTATTCCTCCAATATTACTCCCAACATGCTGTACAACTTCCTCTCAGACCAAAAGGCCATCTCCTACGCTGGGTGCTTCACACAGTGCCTTCTCTTCATTGCTCTGGTGATCACTGAGTTCTACATCCTTGCTTCAATGGCATTGGATCGCTATGTTGCCATTTGCAGCCCTCTGCATTACACAACCAGGATGTCCAAGAGTGTTTGCGTCACCCTAGTCACAGTCCCTTATACTTACGGCTTCCTGAATGGGCTCTCTCAGGCGGTTTTGACTTTTCAGTTATCTTTCTGTGGCTCCCCCGAAATCAACCATTTTTATTGTGCTGACCCTCCCCTTTTAATGTTGGCCTGCTCTGACACCTATGTTAAAAAGATGGCTATGTTTATAGTTGCTGGTTTTACTCTTTCAAGTTCTCTTTTCATCATACTCCTGTCCTACCTTTTTATTTTTGGGACCATCTTGAGGATGCCCTCTGCTAAAGGCAGGCACAAAGCCTTCTCCACTTGTGGTTCCCACCTGACAACAGTCACTATATTTTATGGAACCCTTTTCTGTATGTACTTAAGGCCTCCATCTGAGAAGTCCATAGAAGAGTCCAAAATAATTGCCGTTTTTTATACGTTTTTGAGTCCAATGCTGAACCCACTAATCTACAGCCTGAGGAACAAGGATGTGATTCATGCCATGCAACAAGCCGTCAAGGGAAATCTTTTCCACAAAGTTACAGTGTAATCGTCCATCCACTTCTAATCATTAATTCTCTTTGATAGTATATTTTTCTTCAAAGGAGAAACCTACAGCAGTGAGATATTTGTCATTTTAACATCAGCAAATCTCCCTGATTATGCCAACTAATTATTTCTCAAAATTAATAGCTTGAAGAAAAACAGATTTAATAAAACTTCAATATTTAACTAAAACTGCCTTTTGTCAGAGGTCTGGAAATGAATTAGTTGGCTTAAAAGAATTCTACATGAAAAGTGAATATTGACACTTAAATTGTGAGAGATTCATAACTAACCCATATTGGGAGCAATGAAACTTAATAATAATGAAGACAATATAGAAATACATCTTAAAAAATAATTTATTCCATACACTCATTTTTAGTCATCTACATGAGAATATAATAACTTATTTCTATATTCAACCATTATTGAATTATCTTAAATGTATTATTTTGTTGTCTGCTTTTAGCTGTAGCACCTATAACAATGCTTCTAGTAACTAACTACTATATTTTTATTGTGACATATTTAAATTATTCTCCAGGAAAAAACTCTATTTATCTTAATTTTTTTTTTTTTAATTTGGGCTCTATTTTGAAACTTTAGTTATCTGAACAAAGTTCTACTTTTCAAAAATTTTTCCTTCAGAAACACTTATTGGGTTTATGTTTTTTTTTTTAAACAGTAGACAAATGTTTTAATAGTGGTTGTTGGTATTTGGTATGTGCCTTTGAGTTGGATACAACTCATAGTGGCTCATAAACAGCAAACCTGAACTTTGTTCTATTTTATGCCATCTTCGTCATTGCTAATACACTTGAGCCCATTGTTACAGTTACTGTGTCAAACTGTCTTGTTTAATGTATTCTTCTCCTTTGTTGACTCTTTACCTTTTTTAATTACTTTCTTATTACTTTTTTTACAAATTTCAATCAACATTTACAGAGATTTTGGATTTCCATTCATTCGTTGTTGCACTTGTCTCCCTGCCCACCACACCCCAACATGCAGTTCGCTCTTCTTGAAAAGCAAAAGAAAAACTCCTTCATTGGTATACAATCTCCCTGCAACACCCACCCCAACTCTGAGTATACTCCCCTCTGCAACCCTCATTCCAAACTCTTATGATAATCATAATGCACTAAAATATATTCCTTTCAAACTGTTCTCTCCCTTATCAGCTTCAATGCTGATACATAATTTATCCAGTTTTTCCCAGTCTTACCCCCTCTCTGATGTCAGCCTTATTCTACACACAGTGACCCCAAATTTTGTTTAAATTGAGCATATATGTCAAAGTTGTATAATGAATAATGAAGACTAAAAAGACTTAATATATATGAATATCTACTCATGTTGAATATGCATCTTGAATGAACTGAATAACCACAACACACAATATTTTCATTTCAGAGATGTGCACTTATTTGTCTACATATTTATTTGATTTTGGGGCGTGTGAAAGGGAAAAAGAAGAAAATGATCCAAAGATAATCCTAGAAATGAATTGCATCAGGTCGTGATGTCAGTAGAATACCCTGTGCAACTGACCTGAGTTTTGAGTACCAGTATCATTTTTAGTCTTTCAAATGATATCCATTATCTTTCACATTTTTCTTTTTCTGAAGAAAGAGATATGCTACTATTATATCAATTTGATTGCTCTGTCACCAAATTGAATTCTCAAACTTATTTGAAATATATGATTATAATTGGTGGAAAAGCACCATATTTTACCTAAACAGCCTATAAATTTCTAGCGCTGAGAATTACTGTGACTCTCAGAGCCATGTTTACATCCCAGATTCGCAACACTGAGTGACTGACTTGTAATCTTTTCATTCCACTTGTTTAGTTTATTTTCTTCTATTTAGAATTTAGTTTATCATAATGTAAGTATTGAAAGGTGCCCCAGAAACTCTTTAGAGATAAGAGAGCATAAGTTGACATGCTAAGTTCATTCTTGATATGACATGGTTAGGTATTGATGGGTTGGTCTAATTCATTATGGGCAGCAGAATGAACCACTGTCCCCACTTACATCATCTTCAGAATTTGTGCTTTGTCTGAGTGCATTGCTGCATTTAGTTGAAATCGATCTCATAGAGGGTTTTCCCCTTTTTAAATGACCTTTTATTTTACCAATCTTGAGATCTTACTCTAGGTGTTAGTCCCTATGGATGATGGGTCGAAATACCTGAGATGAAATGTCAGAAATCTTTCTTCTAAATAGCATTCTGAATATTCTCCCAAGAGAGATTCCCCCCAATTCTTGTATCAGTCCATAACATTCTGTATTCTTCAAGGACACTATAACTAAAATTCACTTAATTCTTCTTCAGTCTTCCCTGTTCATTGGCCAGATTTGAGTGTTCAAAAGGAGATGGAAGAGAAGAACTACTCTCAATGAGATGAATTAACACAGTGACTGTCACGATAGGCTTGAGGATGACAGAGGTCATGAAAGGATGAAGGATAGGGCAAGGTTCACCTCTGATACTCAGGAAGTTGCTATATATCATAGGAGACTGGATGGTACCTAGCAACAACAAAGATATGGAAAATACCATGATTATAGTAGATGGCACTTTAGTCCTCAGGTGGTACTTTTGCATATTATGACTTTAAAAACAAATCATTTTACAGTATTTTTCACTAGTACGATACATTTCAGTACAACCCATTATTTGATTTCTTGACTACTGTTTTCTGACTAAACTTTGGAGACGAAAATAAAATTTAATTCTTATATTCTCAATATTTTTCTATATTTGTGATGATTCTTATTGACCAAGTTGTTAGGATTTTTGATTTCTCAAATACTTTCTTTTCTCTGTGGTTAGAGATAATCTGTTATTCTTGTGTCCCTGTCATCATCTTGAAACATATGCTGTAGGAGATCAAAGACTACAACCTTCTATATAAATTACATTTCAACAAAACAAAATAAAAACTCACAGACCACATCATTATAGTGAGAGAAAAGATTGAAGTTGTCAATGATTTCATTTTACTTGGACCCATAATAAACACCCGCAAGAGCAGCAGTCAAGACATAAAAAGACATAATGGGGAGATCTCCTGTCAAGGACTTCTCCAAAGTTCTGAAGAGCAAGGATGTTACTTTGAAGACATGCATAAGCCAAGTCATGGTCTCTTCATCTGAAAGTTGGACAATGAATAAGGATGACAAAGAATCAATGCCTTCAAGTTGGAGTTTTGGAGCCAAGATCTGAACATGCCATAGTGCCAGAAGAATAAACAAGTCTGTCTTATAGTAGGACAGCCAGAGTATTTCTTGGAGGCAAAGATTGTGAAACTTTGTGTTACGTACTTTGAGTATGTTGTCAGTAGGGGGCAGTCCTTGGGACAGAACATCAGGCTGAAGAAAAGCAGAGAACTGGAGAAAGAGGAAGACATAAACAGATGGTGACATAGTGAGTGTAACAGTGCACTTAAACATATCAGAAATGATGAGAATGGTGCAGAATAGGGTGATGTTCAGATCGGTTGTTCATAGAGTCTTTGTGGCCTAGTGCTAAGAAGCTACATTGCAATCTCAAAGTCACCAGATGCTCTTCCGAGAAGGATGAGCAATGTCCGCCCGTATGATTTATTCCCTCTGAAAACTCACTGGTGGGTCAGCTATGAGGTGGTTCCGACTTGACATCACACAGCAGCAACAACAACAACAACAACAGCTAAACACACCAACTTTTATCTTGAGAAAATATTGTAAAATTTAAATAGAGAAAACAACGGAACAAACAAAACGGCTGAAATTTTTAATGAGAGGGCACTGAAAATATAGACCATTTTAGGATGAATTGACACCTTAATCATATTATCTCCATAAACATGTTTGTGTCCTCTTTTGTAGTTACTGTATGCTGTACAGGCTATGGTCTTTGCAATCACTTGTCATGCATCAGAGAGTTGGACAATGACTAGGGATGATAGAAGGAGAATTGATGCCTTTGAGCTGTGATGCTAGAGAAGAGTATTGAATATACCATGGACTGCCAAGAAAACAAACAGATTCATCCTAGAGAGGGTTAAACCAGGCTGCTCCTTGGAGGCAAGGAGTCTGAGGCTTTGTATTACATACTTTGGACATGTTATAAGGAGGGAGACATCCTTGGAGTGGGACATCATGCTTGGGAGGGTGGAGGGATGGTGCAGAAGGGGAAGACCCTCTATGAAGTTGATTGATTCAGTGACTGGGGTAATTTGGATGGGTGTATTGGAGGCAGTGAGATTGGCACAGGATAGAGCAGGGTTTAGGGCTGTTGTACATAGGGTCGCTATGAGTCGCAAGCGACTCGATGACACATAACAACAACAACATAGGCTGTTGAGTCAGCTCTGACACACGAAAATATGCCTCAAATATTCTTTGGAGAGGCGTACAAAAAAGTTCACTAACTTTGTATGCAAAGGGAAGAGACCTCAGATGAGCAAAGTATTACTGAAGAAGAGGAAATATAAAGTCGTTTATATTTAAAAACATTCTATGCAGTCATGGTAGTCAAAACAGCCTGGTACTAGTGCAATGACAGGTGTAGAATATAAAGGGACAAAATTGAGGGCCCAGAAGTAAATCTATTCATGTACAGAGTTAGAGTGCTGATTCTTTACAAAAGTCTGAAATCCAGTAAGTGGAGCACAGATGGGCTATTTCATAAACAGTGCTGCCAAAATGGAGGTTTTTAAAAAAAATGAGGAGAAAAAAGATCTAGATGTCACATTGTTGTTGTGTACTCTTGGGGTGAAAGTGACCTATGGCTGACCCTCCAGCAGGTTTTCAGAGCCAGTTAATTGCATGGGAGAAAACTGCTCTTCTTTCTCCTGTGGAGAAACTGGTGGATTTGAACCATTTGCCTTCAGGATTGCAGATCAACATCTTGCCACTAGGCCAGCAGAGCTCCAGAAACAATTTAAAAATAATATCTCAATATAAAGCCTGTAATTATAAAAATCATCAAAGAGAAAAAGAACTGCCTG